TTATTGCCAAATATATCACCATGTCAACAATCGGTATATAGTTTCACCTAGCTTACCATCTTATATATTCACCTAGCGTATTGCCAAATATGTCACCATGCTAACCATCAGGATAAATCACCAGGAGATAATTTCCCTAGCTTGCCATCCTATAAATATATTCTAGTTCATCACCATAATATGACCTTACCTAGTATAGCATCATCATAAGATAATATCACATATTTTATCACTGTGATATAATTTCACCTAGTTTATTACCTGATTATAATTTCACCTAGCTTTTCATCGTAACATATATTCACCTAGCTTATCACCTTAATACATTTTCACATACTTTATCAGCGTTATATATGATTTCGCCTAGCTTATCAGCATTATTCAAATTTCATCCTGCGTACCATCAAGATAGAATCTAATACCTAACTTATCTTGATCAGATATTTTAACCTAGCTATCTAACCATAATTAAATTTCACCTTGTTTATCATCGTGATATAATTTCACCTAGATGACCAGCACAATATTATTTTCATTTTGCCATTGCAGTATAAATGACACCTAGACCTTCATAAAGTCATGTTGATTATTTTGAATGCAGCACGTTGCCTGTTAGAACAATATTCGTAAAATTTTTGAAAAAATTTCCATTACTTTGCAGTTTTGTATGGTGGAATTTACAATGTTGAAGCTATATCTCGTGGCTATTTTGATTAATTTCACCAATGGAGCCAGTTATTATTTCAATCCTTTCTTTAATTCTGGACTATGTAAGTATTACCGTGAAGGAAGGGGGTTGGGAGGCGAATGAACCAATTTTCAATAGTCCGCTGCTAGCACACAATCTAATCCAATCCAATCCAATTGCTGCATTCCCTGATACAAGAATTTAATGATATTAAGGTATTCGACGCATTTCGTAATAGCTTGACATTGGCCTCGACAGTACTGCTAGCAAAAGACAAAATTAGGAAAATGCCGTTGTTTTGGCAAATCTTTCCTCATTGTACACTCAATGGCCTTGTCAGTCTACATTAACCCTATCCAGTGCAGAAAAAAGCAGGACGTAAAATACCATTTTATTTGATTAGATTAATGACTTTATCCCTCTGATTCATTAACCATTTACTTTGTATAACTGGTAACCAGGCCAGGGATGCCCCCACTCCACCCCACCCCTAGAAAAGATGCTGGTCCGGCTTTGCATCCCCTCCTCCCTGGAAAATCCTCGGCCCCCCTCAACCGATTTTTCCTAGAAACGCCGCTGTTTCTTTTTTAATAACAATCACGAGACTTTCCTTTTGCGGATCTTGAAGGTGACGAATGACGAATGCGGATACTTTAGTCACGATGAATAATTTTCAACACACTAAAAATATAATGTTGCCGTGCAACAGTGAAATATTTTCCTCAAATGGTCTGACCAACCATCAATATTGACAGAAGAAAAAATGTCCTTCTTTTAATTATTATGTACTTTTCTGAACTATTTTCTTTCCCTTAAAAACTTTCCTTACAATATTGTCCGTAGTCATGGTAGCCAGGCAATATTACACAAGGGTACGATTTCCCTGAAAACTTGGTATCTTTGCTTTTAATCTTATTACACACATAATTCTATTGAAGTACTCAAATATTTACCATTTTCTTCGTCTACTTATTCTTACTTGAAACTTTGTTTAAACTAAAGGAGGATCCGTGAATGTTTTGTCGTGAAAAATAGAAAGCCTTTATTACTGTGTCAATAAACCAAGTTCCTCTATACATACTGGTCTACTTTAAGTACAATTAAAACGGTCTTTTGTGTGATTAGAGAGCATTGAAACTGAATTAATAAGTCTAAAATCGTGCATTAAAATGCAGTTTCTTAAAATAATTCTAAATCTTTTAACAATCCGTAATCATCTATTCTTTCAACATAATATTAGGTTTTTCTATTTATTTTTCTGTATTTCGGGATGGTCGTCGATTTCAAGGTCATCATGCTCTTTAAGTGGGACTCTAGTTTGAATTCAACAGTATTCAACGACTGCTAGCCACTAGCAGTGTCGATGGCATGTTTCTTTAGCAACGGTTGATATTATCCGTAGAATATGCCGGTTCTAAAGGAACATGTGTCAAGCGCTGGATTAAGACAACTTTTGAGCACCAACGACTGAAAAAATGTTTCCATTGCTCATGTCCTCCATTCTAGCAAAATATAAGATTTTGGCGATGGGAATCTCCGACCATCCATTGATCGCGCTTACTGGCAGTTTTCCTTGCGCTCGTTACAGCAGCGATGAAAAGTTTATAATTGCAAGTCATCCTGAGTCCATCTTTAAAGTGATACTACGTCTTAGAATGAACATAAAAGTTACAACGGAATCCCTGTAAAATCTAGAAAAATGGAAAATTCATAAAACTAAGTAATTATTGAAAAACGCTTAATCATTATAGTAAGCATTTTTCAATAGTTATTGCACTTTTATTAAGTTTTTTGGATTATAAGATTATATAAGGATCCTGTTATGTTATTTATGACACCAGGTATATCTACTGATAAATATATGATCTTAAAGGCCAAGTTTAAAATTTTTAAATTTTATGTTTATTCTAAGACGTAGTATCCCTTTAAGTTGTCATCATCGTCTGGTGAACAACTGGATTTTCATTCTTGAAACTGGCAGTAACCATTGGAGTACCAGGTCAAGCGCTAGACTAAGGCGACTTTTATAGCGCACCATTGACTGAAATATGTTGCCATTGCCATTGTCGATATTGTCGCGGACCTGGGAATCTCCGATTATTCATATGATCGCAGTTGCCTTCAGCTTTGCTCATTTAGACTGCGATGGATTCGATCAAATTTAGAGTCGATCTTTTTGGTGTCATGATCTATTTGGTGTTGCTATAAATATTCTTCGATGTATAAGGCATCCCATCTAATTTTGATTTTTCTTATTTCAAATATATTTCAGTTGCGTGTCCAAAGTTCACATGTAATTTAAGATGTAGTAAAGGCTTCGAAACCTCATTTTTGGGATGTAAAATGTGTAAATGTCGATATACTGACCCATGTGAGGTAAGAATGAAGTGTCGGGATTCGTTTTTTTTTAAAATTACATTATTGATTCAAAACATTTCGTTAATATTGCATAGTTAGGGATATATTCGCCCAAAACAATTCGCTTGAGTTAAAGGAGCTCATTTTCATTTTTCCGCATCACTTTGCAGAATTAAAAACCCTGTGCTTGGTTCTTCTGCAATTCAACAAAAACAAACCGTGGAAGTTTATACGGTCGTCACTTTCAGGTTACTATTCTCATGTGCGGTCATATCATGACGTCATTGGATAGAACTGCCTGCGAAAACGTAAAGGCTTGGAATTCCCCCTGCATCCGACCGTCGTAAATCCTGAATGAGCCATAATGTGTTCTATTTACAGAACTTTGGAAATTGTGGAGTTGGATACCATTGTGAATCTACTATGAAGATAGCATGGCTTTTTTTCCCTTATCCACATTGTGTGAAAGGTAAGATATACTAAATCATAGCCTTGTCAACTAAATTTTATAGTATCCTCGTTAATTTTTATCAAGGACATGTTCATCGACAAGGTGATTCCACAAGGATTGTCAGATTTTTAAAATACCCAACCCTTTTCGGCGATAGCCTATCATGGTTGTGCACTAGAATATTAAGACATTAAGTCTGCAGTTGTATTGCACGAGTCTATGGGCTGCCTGTGTAAAATTAATGACTGTTTAACGTCTATGAATGTCATTTTAATTCCGAATGCCATTCATCGTTCCGATACAAAATGATCACGACCAACAACAATGGCAGTTCTATTTGAGCAAAGGAAGTGCGCCATTTTGAATTTGATTTTCAGATGAAGTGGTACCAAGGCTTCAGACAACCACTACTACAACAACAACAACAACAACAACTACAACACCAGCACCACTACTGGATGTGTGTCAATATGGCACAGCTATTAGTGGATGTGATATCAACACATCATGTGCTGACGCCACCAAACACAAGTGTGTTATCGTCGACATGAGAAGTGGCCGAGGCGTCTGTTGTCAGAAGTACCCGACGACTCCAACCACAAGAAATAAGAACGGAACGGTATATAATATGAACCCACGTAGGTTTTGAATATTTGTTTTTGTACGTTTTTAAGTGTTGGAGGAGGGATTGAATGACTTATATTAAATACGTTCAAAAAACGAACACATTTGGCAAGACATTATGAAAACATTTACAAAAAACGTTCCGAGCTTATTTAGAACAGGTTCACTACTAGAGCGGAACGTTTAAGTTCCCGTAGTAGATTACCTAGCTAGAGTCCACCCATCCCGGGGATAAATTTAGACCACAAGCCGAATAGTCAGATAGTTACAAACTAACCATCTGTAAACACTTAAATCTGTGAGCGGAGTGTTGTAACTCCCACAGACCAAGCTTACAGAGCCAAACTCCCCAAATCCCAGCCCACGACCGAATAATAACTAAATAATGCTGAAGTATGTACTTTTATACCTAACGAGGTTGCACACTGCACGTGCGTATTATAGTACAGCCCTGTAATCTAGAAGAAACCCTACTTCCGGTTGAATGTAAACAACAGGAGTTATGTTAGTTACTAATATAGACAATTCGGGAATACACATACAATTATATAACATATATACACAAATCCCCTACATAAGTGTTAAAGAAAGACAATATTCAAAATTTATGTTAATCCAACTTATATAAAATCATTTGAACTATTTGTATCTCTTATCAAAATGACATCGTCACGTCCGATGAGTCTACAATTGACAAAACGTATTGACTGATGTGCAGATATTACCAATATTCTGACATGATCAGTAAGAATGTTGAATCTTTTGGTACAATACACGAAAAGTGACAATGATGTCAAGGTATTAGAAGGAGTTTGTTATGCCTTGGCATTGTGAAGGTGAATTGTAATAAGTAACCTTACCCTTATCTTTATTTCAGGATGCATGCAATCGGCTGAGGTGGGTCCATGTCGTGCTCTAATGCCAAAATATTACTATAACGCCACAATGAAAAGATGTATGAAATTCATGTTTGGCGGGTGCCATGAGAATGAAAATAACTTCCCTGACTTAGAAACTTGTGCGAAGACTTGTGGTTGGTATTTTCCCCGTTTATATTTAAGATGTAGGAATCCTTGAATAATCACTGTGATATCGCACCTTTTTCATCCATCATAATGTCAATAACTATGATAGTGCTATTCAGTTATCATAATGTCAATAACTGTGAGAGTGCTAGTCAGTTATCATAATTTCAAATAACGGTGTCACACCAGTCAGTTATCATAATGTCAATAACTAATATAGTGCTAGTCAGTTATCATAATGTCAAATAACTGTCATACGTCTATGTCACACTAGTCAGTTATCATAATGTCAAATAAATGTGATATGTCTGTCACACTAGTCAGTTATCATGATGTCAAATAACTGTCATACGTCTATATCACACTAATCAGTTATCATTATGTCCAATAACTATGAAGTCTCACTAGTCAGTTATCATAATGTCAAATAACTGCGACATGTCTATGTCACACTAGTCAGTTATAATAATGTCAAATAACTGCCATACGTCTATATCACACTAATCAGTTATCATTATGTCCAATAACTATGAAGTCTCACTAGTCAGTTATCATAATGTCAAATAACTGTGACATGTCACAACAGTCAGTAATCATATTGTCAAATAACTATGACGTTACACTAGTCAGTTATAATAATGTCAAATAACTGTCATACGTCTATATCACACTAGTCAGTTATCATTATGTCCAACAACTATGAAGTCTCACTAGTCAGTTATCATAATATCAAATAACTGTGACTTGTCACAACAGTCAGTAATCTTAATGTCAAATAACTATGACATCACACTAGTGAGTTATAATAATGTCAAATTACTGCTATATGTTTTATGTCCCGCATGTCAGTTATCATAATGTAAAATTACCATGATATCTCACTTGTCAGTTATCATAATGTCAAATAACCATGATATCTCACACCAGTCAGTTATCACACTGGCAAATAACTGTGATATTCAACAGTGTCCAGATATGATTTCGAAATATTGAGATGTATCACATCCGTCAACCAACCAACCGATAATATGATATCCTTTCACTTATCAAGACTCTATTCAACTGGGTTCATCATTGTTGTCGTTATTTTTTTTAACTATTTCGTCGACAAATTTCTTTTATGTATTTTTTCAGAAAATCCATGCGCCATGCTGCCAAAAACAGGCAGATGTAGAGCAGCCATTCTACGTTATTACTTTAATTCCACGACCGGACGGTGTGAAAGTTTTATTTTCGGTGGATGCCAAGGGAATGGTAATAATTGGAGAACTCTGGCAGAATGTCGACAAACATGTGATCGAAGTTACACCAATGTTTACTTTCAAGGCAACAACAACATCAATAAAGAGGAATAACTCTTCAACTTTCAACGTTTTCAAAGTAACTTTAAATAGAACAATAGTTAAAAAACCTAATTTTCGTGTGTCCCTTTTTAAAATTTTACTCATTCTATTGCTTTAATTGTTACTTAGAAAATACAACACCAAACCATACCTTTAATTAAGCATAATAGCGCGATTCTCTTAGCGATGTCGATGGAGCCTCGCTAAAGATGTTGAAAATGACATAATAGACCTATTTGCTTTTAATGATTACAGTAAATATGAAGTACAATTGTGGCACCAATTAGTTTTGCCCTTAATCTTAAATTTGAATCGGTTTTCTTGCCATTTTTTTCTTGCCAAAGATATTAATATAATGTAGAATTTCGAAAGAATACTACTGAAAATATTATTAATATGGATCCCAATAAACATATCATAAGCTATGTAGCTAATTCTCAGAAAAGTAAAGAAGCCGCGTTGACAAACCCAGTATGCTAGTGTAATCAAGTGTTCTGGAGCAAATAGAATAATTATCATAGATACTAGAAGAGGCGGGCTCTCGAAAGCACTGGGTCAGGTATCTGATTTTTTTCTTGTCCTATATCACCCATCACTGACGACAGAGTTGTAGCCTAAACGATCGATTTAGATCCTAGTTTCAGCTAATTATAAAGCTATCAGACAGTCTTCAATGATGCGATTTCCTTGATTTGCAGAAGTACTGGACGTCGAATTCTTAAATTTGATATGGATACTGTATAACTGGAAAAAGGCTCTATTTCCTTTTAAATTCGAGTGTAGGTTTTAAACTGTCTTTTCAATACGTATTGTTCTTTACGTTAAAATGTTGTCTGTTGGTTTGCAATATTGATATTCGGTGTTCTTGTTCGTAAAGTTGATTTTTTTTCTAATAATGTGTTAATATTATCGAGTTTTTGGTTGCCATGTAAACAATATAATATGTAAAACACTTTTTCTAGAAGTGTGTTTCTTAATACATTTAATATTAACGTGTGTTTTTTTTCTTATAGCACATAATAGTATGTGCTTATCTCATAATACGCTTTGATCTGGTGCGAACATTGATCAAGGTGCTTTGACATTGGTCCTTCTTCAGCAAAAACAACCGAAAACTTTTATTACCAGGTCTAGTTCTTCACCTTTTCAGTGGCGTCACCAACCTCTTAGAACTGGGGATACAAATAGGGGACAGACTGGCTTAATTGGGGCAGCTCTTGGGTTGAGAATCTGTTGTGTCTAGGTTCGAACGTATGTGACGCCGAAACAGTATATACGCTTCTGGTTGCTTGCTTTGCACGAGGTCACATGACGTCATTCACTTTGTAGTAGGTCGGCGGGCTGACCGCCATTGTTGTAAGAATTTCATGTATAATAAATTTAAGTTTTAATCAACTATGCATCTTTATGGCCATCGCAAACACAACAAATTGGCGACGAGGATGAACCTGAAGAAGAATGGCTGGTAATTTAGTAGGTTCGTTGCCTCCTCCTTCACCTTTTCTCGCTTCACCCGGCGATCCACCGATTCCGTATCAAAGATGGATAGAGGGTTTCAAGAATTATCTAATTGCTAATGCCTTAGACGGCGAAGATGTCTCCGATGACAGAAGAAAAGCAATATTGTTTCATTGTTTGGGTGATGAAGGACAACGAATATTTAGAACTTTGGCCAACACAGATACGTACACAAATGCACTCGATGCCCTCAAAGCTCGTTTTGGAAAACGAAAGTCGGTCATTATGTCTCGAAATACATTTCAAGAAAGAGTTCAACGTCCAGGTGAGAAAATAATTGAATTTATTACTGCCTTGAAAGAACTGGCTAAATACTGTGAATATGGTGATTTGACAGATGAAATCATCCGAGGACATTTTATTACGTTCACGTCTATGAAACGAAT